TTTCGGCCACTCTTTTGCAGCGACTATTCTTCGTCCATTACATCCGCTCCCCTCTTAAGACAAAGCTCATCTCGAGCGGTTTCCTTTCAGCTCGCCAGAAGATCCAGTTGTATTCCATTCATCCATCGCTTTCATCCATCCTTGGAAGGCCGGTACTTCTACACTACCGGTTCCTCCTCTGCTTGAAGTCTCATTTTCTGTTTTGGAGGGGGTCGTCCCCTCCACGGGGTCCAATCCTTCATCAGGTCTTTCGTCGGAAATTTCTTACATCGACGTAACAGCTCTTGATGCATTGGTTGCACTTGCTGATGTCGTCCTTCCTCCTGGTCTTCCAGCCGCTTGCTGGTACGGTACCATGGCGCCAAGTCCTTTCTCCGGCATCCAAAGGTTCCCTGGTGAGATTCCTTCTTGAAGTCATTTCTCCAACGTCGTGCCACTGTCGCGCGACGGGATATCTTCCTGCAGATGGCAGCCAACTTTATCCGGGACGCATGATCTCCTCGGGTGTTTAGTGTAAACACATTTTCATCAGGTTGTTGGTGTTGGATGTGTCTGAGATTTTGCTGTCTGTTCCTTGAATACTGTTCTCATTCTTATCTGTTCTTGTGCAACTCGGTCAGAATCCTCTAGGGTTCTATGTTTCTTCTTTCAGCTTTACTTCACAACATGTTTTGGTCTAACCAGTCATCATCATAAGTACAGGGTGTGTTCAAGGAGTCTGGGCTGCTTTCTTTTAGATATATTAGATGCTTCTTGATGTTTCATTCAGGTTATGTTACGTCATGCCTTTGTGTCTTTACGATGTGTTTGGTTTATGTTTGTTGAGTATGTTGCGGTTGGTTCTGCATGTTTCCCCACGTATTTTATGTCTTTTCTGACTTCATAGCCATGTTCTGAACTGTTCACCTGCACCTGTTGGTTGGGAGGAAATTTTCCAGGCGACCACAAATTCTATGGTGGCACCCAAATCTTAGTTATTTATCACCTTTCAGAATGAAGGAATAATATTACTTTGATTTTAAGTTTTCTTTGCATGACAGCCAAAGACTAGCATTCCCTCATTATTAAACTGATACCAGAGTAATTACAAATTAACATGTTTATTTTAGGAACATAATGGCCCAGGTAGGAAAGATTTTGATGCATCACGGTATGTAGAACACTGGTATTTTAAGTCCACTTGCAGTTGGTATGTTGGACATGAGTGAATGGTAGTGGTATATGTTGCACAGTTTGTAATGATTTTTTTTTTGCCTGGCCTCTAAAATGCCTTCTACAATTTTTGGCACTTTTTTCAGTCCTGAATGATTTGTTTGGTTTCCAACTAAAGTGCAGTGTTTAGGTGCCAGTCACTGTCCATTCCTTTGAAGAGGATGACCATTTTGTTGTAATCATCTTTTCCAATTATTGAACACATATGTAGCTACATACATTTTAATGTCGTCTTTGAGTATCCTCTTCTGCCACTCCAGTCTTACTAAAAAAGTGTCCCTTTGTAAGTTTAGCCCCACTTCCATGTAATGAGTACAGGAATGTCTTATAAAATTAAGATTTAATTTCCGTGGTTATTTCAATATACTGTTTACAATCCCACAAGTGTTTTCACACTGACATCTCTTATATTCATCATTTTCAGCTTTGAAAGAAGTGACAAGTTCCTACATAGTTAGAATGTGAAATTTGCTGTTGGTATAAACAAATTTAACAGAACTTTTTCTGGGAGAAATCAGTATTTTTCTTTAGGAAGTATTGCCATTTTTAAATAATATTTTAATGTGACACTGTTCATCAAAGAGTTTGTAGGCAAAAGACGTAGAATGATATTTTGGCCACCAAGGAAGATAAGGCATATCTGTCAGTCACAACGTTTGTTTTCAGTAATTTATGTTTATTGAAGTGTTACTGGGCTACATGTTTTGGTCATTTGATCATCATCAGGCCCTATGATAAAATGTGTGTCATTGTTACTGAACTGCTTACACAACAGATTCATAATGATGTAAAAACAAGACATTGGAGGCCAATGTCTTCTCTTACCAGCCTTAGATTAGGGACCGGTGGTGATCACTTGTGAACACAGTAATGAACCCTTAGACTCATTAAAAGGGTAGCAGATTCCTTGGCCAAGTGTGAAATTATTAGAGTCCTAACAGTAATTCTTTAAAATATTTTGTTCATCATCATCTGCAAGGGTTGAGCAGTCCTCAAATATCTAGCCACAATTTTTCAGGATTATAAGTGACCCTTTTAC